CTCTCTGACTGAGAAGTTATTTTCCTCCAGAGAAACAGAGTTCAATACAGCACTTGCATTTTAAGTACCACATATTCCATCAAGCATACATGATTTCTGAGTAGTTTCATAGGTAAAAAGATCAGGCTTCATTTCTTCCTTTCCTGCCAATGCAGCTTGTGCATTGTTGAGCTTCAGTTCTGCAAACACATCCTTGACTTTACAACCGTGAGCAATCCCAAAACAATCAAGATAATTAGCCACAGGAATAGAGTTCAACAATTGTAGAAGTGTTGCTAGACTGAGGCCTAAAGTCCAAGTTTTCATGTAACTGACTAAATAAGTCTCATGCTTGCTCTTGGGCATTGAGCAAACAGAAGGTTCTTGAGACCCAGGTGAGGTGTGTAGCACGATGTGTCACTTTTGAAACCATTCTCTTTTGCTCAGCATACATCAACTGCACTTGGTCAGGTTTTAGACTCTGGAAGATATCACAAGGCTGTTCTGCAACTGTCACTGAGGGTCAGGTAAGACAACACTTGCCATCCTCCAAATACTGTGTGTCCATGTCAGCTAGACTTCTGTTTGGGACTGAATCACATCTTCCCTGCCCTGCTCTTTCTGCACTGACTCCCGGTTCACGTGCATATTACAGTGCAAGTCCTCGGTCTTTTTGGTTAGAGTGAGAGGCACTGAGCTCACAATATTCCACCTCTCATTCCTGCAGCAAGTTATTTTCCAGTAAATAAGTTAGGTGCCAGAGCAAATAAATGGTATTTAAGGAGGAAGAAAAGGAAAATTAGAATTCAAATTAACTTGAAAGAGTTTTGGATGAAAATATTGGCAGATCGATAAAGTTTTGGGTTTTGTATTTTGTTTAAAAAAGTTGTTTCATACATGAAAGTTTAAGGAAGTGTTAAAACCCTCCAAAACAAGATCTGTCAGGTCAAACGGTTCATTTAATTTAACCAGAAACTCCTTTTATCATGCCCTAAGTCAATTATTTGCATAGATCTGATTTCTTTATTTACATAGATTTGCGTTCTTACAGCTCCTTCAGATTCTGTATTATCTTAATTATATACATTATATAAATAAAACCCAATCTATCTGTATCTTGTCTGGCTTTATTTAACCAGCAATTTAGGGACTGTTCAATATTAAGATACAATCAAGCTAACTGTCCCTGCTCATGCAAATGGTTCCTAATCTCTGCAGAATAACTTGCTGATATGAAATCTGCATTTCTGTGTTTATATATTTAGTCTTCATAGGGAGAAAATCTTTTGCAGTGAAGCAGATGGTAGGAGATACTGTGAAATTTGCCATTGAACAAAGTGCATGAACATTTTATCATCAAAACTTGGAAGAGAAAATATCTTTCAATAGTGTGGAGAGTTTTATGAAAAAAAACCCCAGTATCTGGGGTAAGAGGCTGACAAACAAGACAGAGCAATTTTTCCCTTGTCTTTAGCAATAAAATTTTTTTGTGTGTGTTTTGACTGCTGAAGGCACAGGAAAATTTGTTTCCTAGTAACTTGATAAAAACCTCCAAAAATACAAGGAAGAGTTTAAGTAACTGGAAAAAATAAGTGGCAAAACTAATTTGTTTTCAGAGGAAAAAGAACAACCAGGCTTTCCCAAATCAACACAGCCTTATATATTAGGCTCTCCTTGTTTAGGAGAGGAGCTGTCTCGGAACTTGGGAAGGCTGCATTTTTGCTAGACTCAGGACAGCTCTCAGGGCTGCAGCATGCTCACACCTTTTCCCGGGGTTTTCTGTAAGGAGATGACTTTTAAATGCCCCACACATTTACCCTGGTAAGAACAGCATCAAAACCCTGTTGTAGACCTGAGTGTAAGTAATCGGAGGAAACTGCACAGTGCTGACATAATAGGCTCCCCTTGGCTTGTCCTACCTCCTAACTGTCTGCCATCTCTCATCCCCATCAAAGCTGATATGACTGAGCTTCTTACTCTGGCACAAATAAAGAGAAATAATCCAGGCGAGAGCTGTCATAAGCCTGGATGGCTATAGCCAACTCGCTGCAGGACAGGAAAGGGCAGCTTTACCAGTCACAGATAAACTTATGTATTTTCTTTTCTTACATTTAGTTCACCACCTCAAAGAGGGAGATAAGAAGCAGATGACTTTGGATGTCCTTTTTATCTCCAAACTAGTGCTTCAGCTGCATCCCCAACTTGCCCTTTGAGTTGGGATTTTGTACCAAAACTGGTACAGAAGGTACAATTTCTATCCCTCCAAAGTGGAGGTAGTAAACTTGGCCATCCATAAATTAACATGGGGAAAAAGGCTAAAGATCAGTCTTTTACTGACATGAAGGAAAACCAAGCCATGCAAAAGTACAAATACCTTCTAAGAAGTTGTCAGGGCAAAGCAAGAGCTGGCAGCTCCATGCAGAATGGGGAGCTGGGGGATAACAGGGCTGGCAGAGCAGGGGCCTCACCAGTACCCACCCCACAGTACCTGAGAGAGGCTGACCCAGAGAGCATGGCCAGGGTCAGTCCAGAGTCCAAATCATCAGACAAGTCCCTGACGGTCAAGCAGGTCTGAGGTCATACTGCAAAGTCAGCCTGCAGGTCAGAGCAGGTCTGAAGCTGGGGGAGCCAGACCTAGCTGTGCTGGAGACCAGCCCTCTTCCAGCAGAGCTCCAGCTGGGACTGAAGGCCAGAGCCAAGCTTAAAGTGGGCTCCTGGGCCCGGGGCAGGGTGTGGGTGGGAGCCACAGGTAAGGCTGGGCAGGGCCATTAATGTCTTTTAGTGCCCCCATGGCTATGGGACAGGCACTACCACCCTGTGGCTGGAGTCTGCATCACTGTGGACTTAATGCACAATTCTGCACTTACCCTCTGGTCTTTAAAGAGATTAAAATTGAGATACATTTCACACTTCTGGATTCAAGGAGGTCATCTCATAAAATCACAGAATATCTTGAGTTGGAAGGGTTCCATAAGGATCATCGAGTCTAACTCCCTGCTCCTTGCAGGACTAGCTAAAACTAAACCATATGACTAAGAGCATCGTGCCAATGCTCCTCGAACTCTGGCAGGCTTGGTGCTGTGACCACTTCCCCGGGGAGGCTGTTCCAGTGACCAACCATCCTCTCAGTGAAGAACCTTTTCCTAATGTCCAGCCTGAACTTCCCCTGACACAGCTTCATTCCATTTCCTTGTGTCTTATTGCTGGTCACCAGAGAAAAGAGATCAGCAGCTCCCCCTTTGCTGCCCCCCTTGAGGAAGTTGTAGACTGCAATGAGGGCACCCCTCAACCTTCTCTTCTCCAAGCTGAACAAGCCAAGTGACCTCATCCACTCCTTGGAAGTCTTCCCCTTGAGGCCTTTCACCATTTTTGTCACCCTCCTCTGGACACACTCTAATGGTTTGATGTCCTTCTTATATTGAGGTGCCCAAAACTGCACACAGTATAGTGTAGAGTGGGACAATCACCTCTCTTGACCAGCTAGCTATGCTGTGCTTGGTGCACCCCAGGACACAGTTGGCCCTTTTGACTGCCAGGGCACACTGTTGACTCATATTCAACTTGCCATCAACCCAGACCCCCAGATCTTTTTCTGCGGGGCTGCTCTCCAGCCTCTCATCCCCCAGTTTGTATGCTTAACCAGGACTACCCAGTTCCCGGTGCAGAATCCGGCACTTGCTCTTGTTAAATGTCATATGGTTGGTGATTGCCCAGCTCTCTAGTCTATACAGATCTCTCTCTAAGGCCTCTCTGCCCTCGAGGGAGTCCACAGCTCCGCCTAGTTTAGTATCATTGGCAAACTTACTTAATGTACATTCGACTCCTGCATCCAGATCATTTATAAAAACATTAAAGAGCACTAGTCCTAAAACTGAGCCCTGGGGAACCCAACTGGTGACTGGCTACCAGCCTGATGCAACCCCATTTACTCTAACTCTCTGAGCCTAACCCATCAGCCCGTCATGTTATTTCATACCAAAGGTTCAGATTGAAGTTGTCTGCAGTAGTCTCCTGTGTACCTAAACCTGCAAAGTGCGCAGCTGGATACTGACACACTGTTCATGGCGCAAAATTTAATCCCTTTCTCCTCTGATCTTCAAAACACTTCTGGATTTGTTTAGAGACTTTTTATTTTATTACATTTTACTATGAATGAAAAGCATGGCTCTTTATCGCACAAGGGAGCAGTGCTGCAGACCCAATGCCAATGACAGTCTCCTGGATGCCAGCAAGATTTTTGTCTGAGAGAGGACTGTGTAAATTTTGGTCCTCAACTGACATTAATTAGGTGTTTCTAAGAAAAATCTAGATTCAGGGGTAAAGCCAAGCCATTTTAAAGCCAACAGATGCAAAAAGATATTTTGGGGAAGTAATGTCTTCAAATTTGGCATTACAGATCACCACTGTGAAGCAGAATTGATGAGCAATTGCAGCGTATACAACTCACACAATCATCTTGAACCTGTTTCCCACATGAAACAGAGGAATAATGCTATAGTGCTACTTAATTCTAGGTGAAGCTATGTCACTTCCTACTTCTAAAAGGGTATCTTTTGCCAATATGTCAAAAGAACAAAACCTAATAGTTTGATTCCTCTCTCAGATCAGTTGGAACCTAATCCCATTACTGACCTCAACAGTTTCACTCTTGAATTCATTAGGAAAATGAAGGAAATGGTTTCAGTGCTCAGCATTTTATTTCAAGGATTGCTTGTCAGCAAAGGACCCTAGAACTGGAGTGACTTTTTCCAGATGCTTGATATGACACAGTAAATTCTAAATCCTTTTCCATTTCTATTTGCTGGTCAGCAAGCCCACACCTACTCTTCAATGAAAAGGAATCAGTATCCCTTGATTTTGGCCTGTTGCTGTGCTCTCGTGTGAGGGCCCAAGTGGAATTCCACTGTAAAAACAGGACAGGACAACTGGCAGAGGCTTTGTATTCAGACAGTTTATTGGAACACTTAGGAACACTCTATTCCCTCGGACTATGCAACTTCTAAAAGAGCTGTGGAGGGTACCTAGCGTGGCCCGGGCTGGGGTCCAAGGCCGTTGCCTGCAGCTCCCTTGTTTGGAGCCCAGGTGCCACCCGGGCAGTGGCGGTAGGGGGGGGCGTGGCCCCCAGGTGGCCCTGGCATAGAGAGGGCAGTACGTGGTGAAGCAGCAGCGCAGGCAGCGCCCTGGCTGGCAGCCGGGCCGGGGCTGCTGTGCTGCAGCAAAAGGGAGGGGGGCAGAGGATTGAGCTGCTCCCTGCCTCCTGCTGTCAGAGCAGCGGTGCACGCAGACGGAGAGGCAGGCCTGAGTGGGGCAGCTGCCTTGGCGGGTCGCTTGGCAGGTGCGGTCTTGCTGGGTGCAGAGGCGTGCGTGTTCTCCCTTGGAGCTGCTGTGAAGGGAGCGCTCTCCTCCTCCTCGGCAGCGGGTTCCCACGCAAGCTCAGCATCTGGTTTTCTTTTCCGGCGGCGTGCATGCAGATCCGTGTCCGGTGAAAAACCTGCTGGTGTTTGATTTTTTGGACTAGAGCTTCGCTTACACTTCACTAGCAGGTGCAGACAATGTCTTCTAAAATTTGGGTTGTAGTAGAAGTGAAACTAAAAATGCAAAGGAAAAGAGTTAGTTGCCATCACCTTGAGACGGGAAAGGGCAGAGATATGAGAACTAAGAATTTCAACTGCAAAAGAGAAACAGGGATGTTAAAAAGGACCGTCAGGGGCGTTCTAAACCTGAAGTTCAGGCTGAATAAAATGGTGCAATCCAGTCCTGTTAAGTAGTAACCAGCCTTGTGCTTTTGCCACTTGGCAGCAGAGAAGCGTAGGATTTTCAAAAGCATAAAAACTGACTTAGAAACCCAAACACCAGTCCTTTTCAGCAACTTTAGTGTGGAATGACCAGGTAGGTAACTATAGGCTGCTGACACTACCTTCTCAGCCTTCAGCAAATGCCACAAGACAACTGCACATCTGGTACAGCAAGACACACAGCAAATACCAAAAGAAAATCCCGATAGGATGAGAATCTCTTCTCATTTTATGTGCTCAAAGTAACTGGAAACAACCAACGTAATATTTTATCAGCATTTCTACTGGGAAATACTGCCTCCAGACCTCCGGAACATGACCCAAGAAACAAATGACAGAACATTTACTACCATCCTCATCTCCTAGGTAGTAAAGGCTTATTTCATTGGAACAGAAATCTGTCCCACTAGAATATTCTGAGAGTTAGTTTGCACGTCAAGGTTGCAACATACCTCCCCAGCTGTTTCTTCCGCTAGCAGGTCATCGTGCGAGCCCGATTTTGGAAAATCGCACAGCTTTCTGGCGAACCCATACAAATGGAGGCGATGAGTGAAGCTTCTCATGGTCTCACTTTCAAAAATCCTCAGATATCCTCTCCTTGCTAGCACTTCGTCTTTGAACAGTTCTTCATGAATCACGACACACTTTCCGTTGTCCCCCCACCAAATGGACTCGAACTGATGGCTTTCAACAATGTCCCAGAGCTTCTTCAGAAAGCTGAGACGTGTCCAGGTATCGCTAGAGCTCTCCTCAGATGAGCTCAGACGCTCTCTTTTTGACTGGGGTCGCTTAGCCGAAGTTTGTAAAGCCCTTTCTTCTCTTGGAGGTCCAAAAGCAGCGTCATTAGCTGCTCTTTTGCCACGTGCTGGACGGAGAGGAGTCGAGCCTGGCAAATCGACTCCCTTGGCCTGAGCAGAAGCACATGAAGTTTCCTGTGAGGAAAGCTCCATTTTAAACTCTCTTTTCTCAGTTTGAGTAAATTGTTCAGTTGAAGCCATCTACCTTCGCCGCTAGACTGTCCTGCCAGACAGCCAGCTGAAAGGAAGTGACCGGCTGACTGAGAACCCCAACGAAAATTCTCAAACATCACCGTGACGCCCATGCTGCGCTGCCGTGACATCACAAAGCAGCGTCTGTTTCCTAGCGACATGAAGCAGCAGCAGCAAGTGGTTGCTTTTCCTTTACAGATTTTATGTTTCAAGAGCCAAAAAGTAAATAAAACTGCAATGAAATTTTAGATGTAGTGGTAGGACAGTGCTGTGTTGGGTTGCAGGTAGTACCTGGTCCACAGGGAGGGACAGGGAGGTTCATCCAGGCTTTAAAACAAAATACTTCTAGATAATTCTTACACTGTACAGGACAAGACTTTTAAGCAATATATTACGCTGCTAAAATGTTCATATAAATACAGATAATTGTGCAACCAAACCGTTAGGAAGGTTCACACATTAGACCACCACATACCTCTGTGGACAAGAAGTGGCACAATGCTGAGAAAAATTCAGCCAGGAACCATCCGAGTGTCCTCTGCTGGACACCATGTTACAAATACAGAATTCTTCAACACCTGGCTCAGTACAAATGCGGTCCCCACCTCTGGATTAGTGTTTTTAAACTCATTGATTTTATTTGGCACATTTTTGTAGGAAGTTTATTTCCACCTGTGAACCTTGCTGAAACCTTACTGAAACACTGGCCAATGCCCAGGGACCTTCAGCTTTACTGAAAGTGGGAAGGTTTGCAAGTTTGTTAGTTCAGGTTAAAAACTGAACCTTTGTAGACAAAGTTTTCATATTCAAAGATCTGGGGCTCAGGCTTTTGTGAAGAACAGGCAAAGGTACAAATGGATGCTGAATTTGTGACATTTAAGCTGATTTATAATAGGAATTGTTATTGGTTTTGTGTTCCACTTTTTTTGCATTACATCAGCCTTAATAACCAGAGCTGGATTCAAGGAAGCCCAAGGAGACAGTTGCCTTAGTGTTCTTCGGTGCATAGTTTAGTGCCAGGGAAGTGACAAGGCAGACATACCCCTGTCAATGAAGTGGGATGTAGAAAAAGAAGTGGCCATGAATGCATCGTAGTCAGCATTTCTGTAGTTCTCAAGTTGCTTCACAAATACTATTTAAGTAAGCCTTCTAGCACGTCAGTAAGGTAGTTATAAGAACTGTGTGAATACTTCATTTTGGTTTGGTGACTTAACTGAAAAATTAGAAGTAATTTTCAGAACAGTGAACTGACCCAAAATGAAATGTATTCCTTTTGTCTAAACAAAACAATTTTATTGATTCACATGAAAAAAATCTCGGTGTTCGGTACTCATAACAAAAGAAAACAGAGCCAGAGGTTTAAAAAAGGAGGGAGAGAAGATAAAGGTTCTGCTCTCTAACCAGATGTGGGGATTACAGCACTCTAAGTGGACACGGGCATGTTGCTGCTTAACATGGTAACCTGTAACCCACACTGAGAGAGCTCACACACGTGGACCAAATCAGAAAGCATCCTCTGCGCTCTAGTGATTTTGACAGTGGTAGAGAATGGGTGAAAAGACATGTTACGTCTTTCTGTAATTTCACTAAAAAGCCCACATTTTATGAGCCTTTTAAAGGAAACTAGCAATAGAATTTTCACTAATTCCCTTTTTGTGGTGGTTCCAGCAGCAATACTATTTAATCTGCACAGAAGGTCTTGTGCAGCTGGATTCCTAGTGGTGGTAGATTCATGCAGGCAGAGAAGGAAGAGGATGGCAAGCTCCTGTCTCTTGGAAATGTCAGGACCAGCCAATGCAAGACTGCTCAGCAGGATGAAACCAGCTGGGGGTTGTGCTGATTCTGCTGGTGACAATGCCTGCAGGATCCAAGCAGCATCTCCAAGTCTCCTCCTATCTGGGACTGAATCCTTTCCTCTGTGCACCAGCCCCTGATGTGCAGAGAAATGCAAATTGTATCATGCTGCACCCCAGCTTGTAGGTATGGCCCAGAACACAACCTTTGAAAAACACAGCTTATATTCCTTCAGTATTAAAAGCTTATTACCCCACTAAAAGTCAGAGGATGTGCCAAAAAGTTGCAACAGAACATAATACATGAGTAGCAAAACTTCCCAACATTAATGTAAAATGTTCTGACATGCCAGAACAATTAGACCGGCTTAGTTCTTGCAGGTAGGCTGGCAGAACAGACTCATCTCAGACAGTGCTAATGCTGTTAGGCAAAAGCACTGTTTTATGAAGAGATGACATGAGATATGAAGTTGAGCTTTGTATTTGTCATTGTGTTTTACAATTATGAAAGCATCAATGAGAAGTATTTTTTATAGAAAGCATTTATAATGTTCTAGCCTAATAATTCACAGTGAATCCATTAAATTTACAAAGGTGCTTTAACAGCATCAAGGAACCATTCCTAAAATACAGTAGGTTACGAATTGCATGTAAAAAAATCACTATTATGATATTGCAGTAAATGATGAGGATCCAAGGGTTTTTTAGTTATGTTTTAATATTTTGGCCCTGTTACCACTATAATAAAACTTGCATGAAAATATCACATTGTTAAGCACAGTGGGAAAGAGGTGCGGGGGAAGTGGAGAAGAAGAAAGCTTTAGTTGATGCTGGTCTGAGTATCCCATTTACCTTGTGACTTTTGATAGCTCTTCTAGTAATCAGAAGCTTTTATTATTGGTTGAAACACTGTGTGTGCGGGTGTATTTGTGTGCATAGTCATAAATTCCCAGTGTATGATGCAGAATTTCTTCGTTTGAAAGCACTAAAGCAAAACGCTTCAGAGGATATGTGAGAGCTCCATTCTAAACCAGACAGAACACAAGATTTTACATTGTCATTTTATCCTTGTAACCCAGCTTCAAGTTTAAAATCAACCTTCAGATTCCCTTAGATCTACATACAAAGCTTTGTTCACATTGCTCACCTCAGCCAAAAAATGAATCTAAAACAGAATGTGCGAGACTGCTGAGTTCACTGAGCACGTATAAACAGGTATCATCAGGTTTAAGAGACAGGAAAAGAGGCTGAAGAGGGAAAGACCAGAGTGACACAGGCTAGTAGCATTTTCTTTTGTAAGAAAGACCCATGTCTTCACATTCCAGTTAAGCAGAGAAGGAGCTTACTGCTCTAAGATTTTCCCTTCAGTAGACAATTTTTGCACAGTTGCACTGAGGTACAGGGTGTTGGCTGTGCATGCTAAGTCTGTCCTGACGAGCCCTGCAGACGTGCCTGTGGCAGAGGTGCTGAGGGTCGGGAATGAGATGCGCTGCCAGAGCTGCACTCGCAACTCTCCATATTCAGGGCATGTGCTTGTGTTATGCCCCCCTCCTGCCAGGGCACTTTGGTTTTCTTAAGTAAAGCAGTACGTTCAGCTATCAAAGGGAAAGGGTGAAGGCAAAGAAAAGGCCAGGAAATTCCAATGTTTAATGCACCTTTCATTCAGTATATACAGCTTCTCACGTAAACTGAGTGTGTGGAGAAATCCCAAGCAGGAAAGTAAGCGAAGAGGCTTATTCAGTTATCAAATCCAGTCCTTTGTTATTGTGGGCAATCCTATCCTATAATTCAATTCATAAATTGATGTATGATCCCATCATAAACTGGTGTATGATTCACAACAACAGTTTTGTTGTGAAAAAGAGGACGGGGAAGGATTAACCTGTTGTGATTTTCTGTATGACCTTAGCGTTCAGCATGAAGGATGCAAGAGAGGAGGATGACCACCACTATTCCTTCCTCCACAATAAACTTGCATGAAGTAGGAGGCTATTGCTCACCAGTGTGGACTCTAAGAACCTGAAGAGTAATGATAGGTCACTATGAAATAGTGTATTACTTACCCTGGTTCTCCATTTTCCCTCTATACTGGGTAGAAGAATACCAGAGGTATTTCTTCTGGAGCAAAAGTTAAATCACAGGGCTTTGAGCTGCATAAGGATCTTCAGTTCCATGAGACTGAAATGCCAGCATTCTGCATTTTTCCTTACATCCAAGCTGAACAAGCAGAACACTTGGCCCTTTGCAGTATAAGAGCTAGTGAGGACTCAGAGTGACTATATTATTTGTACCCTCTTTGTCTTCTCTGAGAATACAGCTGCAAGATGGTGTCTAGATTACGAAAATTAATATTATACAGACTATGTTGGACCATGTGACAGAAGCTCCCACCATGAGTAGGTGATCTAATTCAAGAGTGAGGGGGATATGGGCCAGTGCCTCAGTTCTTGCTTTCTTGTCATGGCACTGAAAACGAGCTGAGCCCCACGCCTGTGGCTGGGTAGAGCCACAGAATATGCCAGGTCCAGGACAAAGGCATAGCAGTCACCAGAAGTTATACTGCAACCGAAGAGATGATTACAGCTCCCGTGTATGCATCAATCCAGCTAGGCTGGTGAGAACCAAGCAGCCAAGACCCAGGAGGACAGGCTTTATCGTGTGATACAGCTGCCAGAACAAGCAGCCAGTGCCCGTCTGCCTCATCTAGCTGGCACTGAAGCCACTGTTTCCATGACTTCATTGTCATAGGTACGCGTCGAGGGAGATGAGATGATGCTCAAGTATGCCTGCACAGGTTGCAACAAATGCTCTCAGCCTGAGCACAGACATCCCTACCGCTACACTCACCCTTTGCAGAGGCTCAATATACCACCCACTCCTCCTAACTAACTCTTAATTCCTGAAACTAGGTTTTGCACAGGGTTTGAGCAGCCCACACATGTTTTTGTTGGTCCTCTTCTTGGGAGAGCATTTTGCATATACTGAATATACACAGGAAAGTTATTGACCATGTTATTACTAATGTAAAAAACTTTAGAAAGCCAAATTGGTCTCTATAAATATTCAGCAG